AGTTGGGCGCCGGGTCTGGGCAGCGGCCGGGCCGTGGCCGCGGAAGTGCCCGGTGGGACTAGGGAGCGCGGAGGGGCTCTCGGGAGGAGACGAAGGGCGAGTGCTGGTACCTCCCGGCTGCTGAACACGGGGCCACCGGCCTTTCCCATTAATCATCATAAAATAATAGTACTGGGTTCTTTGGTGCCTATTAGCGCTTAGGGAATAAAAATCATCGTTTGGCTAGTCTGCTTTTGCTTTTTTATTATGATTAACCTCTAGCGTACGACCTACGTAAAAGCCACGTCTGCCAGGCGGACAACTTCAAAACAGTGTCCACCGTCCCCCTTCCACTCCGCCGAGGTCCCAGTGTTCAGATGGCTTCAGTGATGTGCCCACTTAAGAAAAGAAAACTCTAGAGCGATGTGGGGTGTGAGGGACACGCTGAACCTGTTTCAGGGAAACAGGGAGCAGGACCTCTGGGTGTCCTTGTTTCCAGGAGCTCAGATGACAAGGGCGTGCAACGCTCCTGGCCTGCGCCGGTTGGCGGGACAGTTGGATGTGGGCGCTGCCTCCACAAAGCTCTCTGTTCTGGTGAAGGAGGGCAGAGCAACTGCCCTCACACACTCTCCCAAAAAGAGCACTTCTCACTGGAGGGGCCCGACTCGCTCCAGCAGGGCCAGCGCCTTGATTGATTGGCAATCACATGGCAAGAAATTTATTCTGTTTGGTTCCCTTTCAGTTCTTCTGATGAGGAGAGCGTATTCTCTCTCAAACCAGCTAAGTTCCCTTTTCGTCACAGGGAGAGAGCAGGCCCCAGGCTCAAAGCCCTGGAAAAGCTTTTGGTATCTGACTAGAATTTGTAGCATATTTTTGTTTGATTGTTTTTAAGGAATTATTTCATTTAACTTTATTTATTTTAATTTGATCAGAGAGGGATAGAGCAAGAGAGTGAGAGAAAGAGAGAAAGCAAGTTGCCAGGTCTGGGACTCAAACCATGGTCAGCGTTGTGGGAGTCCAGCGCCCTTAACCACCACTCCACCTGCCGGCTCTTATAGTTTTTGTTTTTGGTTTTGTTTTCTGTTTTTGGGGGGTTTTTTTGTTTGGTTTTTGGTTTTTTTGAGAGAGAGAGAGATTTTTTGCTATAGGGCACATGTGCTGGCCAGAAAGACAAAGAGACAGACAGAAAGCGAGAAATCACCCCCCAGGGGGATGACCACACCACAATCCCTTCTCCTCCATTCTCCTCACTGGATCTTCTGCACGCACGCACACGCACCTGGCTTGAGTTTAAACCACCTGGTCGGGGACTCGGACCATGGTCGACTACATGGGAGTCCAGCGATATAGCCATTAGGCCAACTGCGGTTCCCCCTGCAGCATTCTTTTATATTCATTGTTTAGTTAAATTGTTTGTGGGTTACTGTTACTATACAGCAAGTGAGAGTGGTTTTCTATTTATGGTAGGGGTCCAAGTTTCTTCTTTAAGCCAGTGTCTATCCGTTAAAAGTATGTTTACGAAGAATAATAGTTGAGATGGAACTGGGATAAAAACAAAAACTCTAAAGACAGAAGGATTAAAGGGAAAACTGATGTTTTTGCCAAGTAGTGACAGCTGAAAGCTGGAATACCTCTCTGACCAGAGAACACTAAGAACAGTGAGTGAGCCTTAGCACCCACTGAACACCTAGCTCATTCCCTCCAGCGCACATAGGAAGCTGAAATAACATGGCTGGACATCAGCTCTGTGCTGGACCCTGTATTAAGCACCTTGTTCATGTTATGTCGTTTGGTTCTCACAAAATCCATGCAAGACACAGCACAATCTAGAAACTGAGTCTCCAAAACATTCATTTAACTGAGATCACCAGCTAAGAGGGCACCGAACACTCTAGAGTTTGGCCTTCTTGAGTTTTACAGACTACTTCAGAATTTAGCAAGTCCACAACCCCCTTGAAAATTTTATATTAGATCCCATGTGTTGTTTCATGTTCCATAGTTTTCAAAAAAAAGTTCCAATTTTTTTTTCTCAGAGAGGTTTTTGCTATAGGGCACGTGCGCTTGCCAGGAAGATAGAGAGAGACAGAGAGAGAGAAAGTGAGAAATACCCTCCAGGGCATGGGGGTCCCTGCCCACTTTCTACACCCATTCTCAGTTACTCTCCATCAGCATTCAATTCCACCCCCTTGTCAATCCCAAGCATGCACACACACACACACACACACACACACACACACACACACACACGGCCATTCTGAATTATTTACAGCCCCTCTCCCAAATACCACAGCCATTTGTCTTTTCATAGGCCATTCCTTCTTTCTAGAAAACCCTTCTCCCCATCCTTTAGTCCTCTGCCTCCCCCATGTCTCCTGTCTGGTTAACTTCTCATCCAGCAAGACTCCACTCACATTCATGGAAACCCTCCCTGATCCCCTTTCTGTTACAAGAGGGTTTATTGTCTTTCCTCTTTTCTTCTAAAACGCCTACAGCAAAGTTCTAATTATTTTTATGAATATTTCTGCAATTCAGAAATCTAAAAATTTACAAAATCCTAAACTGAACTGATGTGAGATTTTTTAAATCATATTTATTCATTTAGTGTGACTATTCATATATTTTAATTATGGGCTGCCACCCTACATCCTTTTGTGGGTGTTATGTTGTTATGGTTTGGATCATGGTTTATCCCCCAACATTTCATGTCTTGGAATTTAATCTACTGGGTGGTAATTGAATATCCCCCAAGATTCTTATTTTGGGACTTGATTGTATTGTAAAGATATTAGGGAAACTTTAATCCCTTCATGGTCTCCTAGACTGAGGATTTTCACTGTGAGAGCATCATTAGATCAGAGCCCTATGACTGAATTATGGTGGGTATTTAAGCATGGAGAATGAGTTCAAAAGCACAGGGAAAGCCACATGGACATAGAGCATGCTCTGCTAAAAATTCTGCCTTCCACCATTTTCTTATACTCTTGGACTTTCTAGCCACCAGAACTGTGAGTTATTAAAATTCCATTTCTTTATACAATAGTTCACTAGCTTTGGGTATTTCAACTAGCCACACAACAACAGACTAACTCATATACAATATACAGATTGTACATCATAATACCATTCTAAAAAGAGAATTGCGAACCCATCTGCCTTCAAGGGTTTCAGATAAGGGATACAGACTATATAATCATTACTTCCCTTGTCTATATTTCCTTGTAATCATAAGCTCCTTGATGCTTTGACTGTATTGTTTTCATATCCAAATCCCAGTACCTAACACAATAGCTGGCTCAAAAGCAGTTTACTGAATAAATTCAGGGTGTATGTATTAATTTGGACTGTATTTTCATAAAACTGATTCCCAATGTGATTCAGTATAAATTAATGCCTGGCCCTTAAACCTAATGATATCTTTTTAAAAGAACTATTTACTTAATTTTATTTATTCATACTACTTTAAAATTTGACCAGACAGAGACAGAGAGAGAAAGCAAGCCACCAGCTCCAGGACTTGAATTGTGGTTGGCCACGTGGGATTCCAGCACCTTAACCACCATACCACCTGCTGGCCCCAAACCTAATGATATCTTAAGAGAGACAGAAAAAAAGTGATTCCCCTTCCCTCATTCATCTGCATATATTTCTCCAAAACTACAAATGAGATTCTATTCCCTCCAGAGTAGTTTCTTTCTTTTAATAAAAAATTATTTACTTAAGTTTATTAATTATTATTATTTTTTAAATTTGGCCAGAGAGAGAGAGGGAAAGTGAGAAAGCAAGTAGCCAGGTCCAGGACTTGAACAGCAGTCGGCCATGTGGGAGTTGAGCACCTTAACCACTACACCACCTGCTTCTAGAGTAGTTTCTAACTAGTTAGACCCTAATATTGACCTAGCTAATATTCAAATATTCTTATATTTGAATAGTAGAAATTTCCCACCAGTTTGTTAGGTGACTTCACATATAACAACTGAGGCAACATAAGTTAATACAGAAAGTTTTACACTTGGTCTTAGCCAAAAGGTTGAAAAGCGATTAATACAGAAAGTTTTAGCTTGCAAAAATTTTTAATTTCAGGAGATGATTGTTAGTCAATGTGTTTGTTTCTTAAAATAAACAAATCTAGAAAGGCATTTCGCAAACAGAAGAGACATAGATTTGGTTACCACTGACCATGGGAACTGTAATAGTATGTGGAAATATGTCCCTAGATTTGTAAATTTTATGAAGGAAAACAGTTCACTAAGCACAAAGTTGAACCAAAATATTTTCTCTCCTGTGGTTTTTGGATCTTCCTCTCAAGTATGGTCTCAGCTGGATAGAAACTCACACTTCCAAACAGACAATAAAGATCATGATTTACCAATATTTTGATTAACATCATATAAAATGAGAGTACAATGTTTATTTATTGAGTTAGTTTTGCAATGTCATGTAGAATACGGTAAGTAACTTGATTTATGGCTAGGTCTATTTCTATTTAATTCCTTAAGTTTCTTAAATATCTGAAAAGAAACAGATTTTTTCTGATATCCTCTGTGAAATGGCAGAGAAAACTAATTGTTGATTTTTAAAACCCAATCATGGGACCAGCAGGTGGCGTGGTGGTGAAGGCGCTGGACACTCCCACATGGCTTCCCACCATTCCAGTCCCATACCTGGTGGCTTACTTTCTCTCTCTCTCTCTCTCTCTCTCTCTCTGTGCATGTGTGTGTGTGTGTGTGTGTGTGTGTGTGTGTGTGCGTGCGTGTGTTTCTCTCTGGTCAAATTTTTTTAAAAGTGAATGAATAAATAAAAATAAATAATTCTTAAAAAAAACTCACAAAGGAGTTTATGAAATGTGATAATGAACTTCCTAGTAGAGTTACAGAAGAGAAAACAGTGTG